TTGATAGTAAAGTTACTCTCCTTTCTTCTCCATGATGAACGGTGGATTCAGACGTTGAAGGAGAAGGGAGAGTACTCTGGACCATGAGAATTCCCCCTGAATTTTGAGGGAACTGAACTGATCCTTGCTGAATTATTGTGAAATGCCGCACCTGTACCCAATTCCATGCGCTCTAGCAGGAAGGGAATTTGTGGGGAATCTGGGAACGGTGGGGGCGAGAGTGAGAGGAGGATGGGCCACGTAACGTAAATTGTGGGTGGGGGAGGGTTCATTCAACAGACACAGACTGATGATTTTGGGAGGTGGGACGGTATGCGTGCCTCGAGAGCAGCAAAGCAACAGCGCTGCACACAACAGAAGCATTCACATACAAACTCCCCATCGCGCTCTCTCTCTCTCTCTCTCCCAGCCTGCTGCCTGCCTGAGGCCGTGAGGCGCGTGCGTGCATGCGGCTCTCGGTTCAGGACCATGGCCGGCCAGGCGCGGGCGGTTCTTGTCGTGGCTCGTCGGCATGCAGATGCATCAGGTCATTCCGGTCAAGCTGCCGAGATCGATCAGTTAACCACCTTGTCCTGCTCGTTTACTTCTCACCGTGCCTTACTGCCTTTTTTTTTTTGCCCCGTTTCTTGTCTTAAAAATAGCTTGTTCAAACCTTTTTTTCAAATTTAAATGTGTTTTCTCTCACAACAATTCAATAAAATTCGGTGTTTTTTCAATTTTAATTAAGTTTGAATCAAATGAATCGGAGCCAAAAGTGCCTTCTCTGACTGGCTTTCCGGGCACCTTTTGCAACAACCGCCGACTGAAAACTGTTTTGCTGCGTAGAACTCAGGCTGACTTTCACCACTGGATCCAAGTGAAAAATTGGACGAACCCCGTCCCGTTCTTTTTTTTTAAAAAAATGGCCTTATATCTTGCAGGATATTAATATGTTATCCCCCCTGTTTCTCTCTACAGTATTATGTGGCCTGCGTGCTCTCTGGTATTTCTAAATTCCAATAATTCAGACTCCTTTTTTTAAAAATAAGAGTGCACTGGATATGCTCGGATGGTGGGAAACGAAATAAAGGGAAATAGCCGGGGTCCCGGTGCAAAAGGGACAGAGGAAATTAAAGGCAGCAACGTCTTCTCCACCTGCTCTCTCTCTCTCTCTAAAGCGAAGAACGGCGAGGAAGCCAGGAGAAAAGCCGGGGCTGTTTGCATCGCCTCATTAGACGCAGCGAGCATGGCGCCAAACTGAAAGTCTGTTTCGCCATTAATGGCCCAGCAGCTCCCTCCCTGGAACCCATAGATACAGATGCACAAGAGAACCCACAGATATCATCAGAAAGGGCTTGGATATCATTAGATCGATAGAAAGAGATAGACTGATACTACTACTACAGGAGAGATAAAGGAGGAGAGAGAGAGAGAGAGAGAGAGAGAGAGAGAGAGAGAGAGAGAGAGAGATCAAAGGAAAGGGAAGGAAGAGCACTAGAACACAACAACAACTAGTTAGTGGTTTGTTAGTATTAGATAGCTAGGGTCCAAGGGTCACCACAAATGACTAGCGTCCTAGAAAGATTGGGTCATGGGGTGGTTCGCTAGTGTGGAGGGATAGAGGTGTTGCTTGGCCGCTAGCCCGGCCTCCTCCCCCGGGCGGTCCCTAGAGTCAAACCGTATTTCTAGGTCTCTGCAGCCGGCCCGGCCCCGGGGATATATACACGTCGTACACCGCCTGTGTGTATGCTGTGTCGGCGTGCGCCTGCGGCCGCAGCTAGCAGCCTGTGCTTGCAGAGCGATCCGTCGACCGGTCCATGGTGAGCGGCGGCAGCATCAAGGAGCAGCAGCACGAGATGAACATCTCCTTCGGGATGATGAACCACCACCACCAGCCTCCGTCCTCGTCTTCCTCCTCCTCCATGCATGCGGCCGCTGCGAGCTTCATGTAAAGTTTTTTCTTAACTCCACTGTACCTTTTGCTGCTTTCTTTGATTCGGCTAGTCTGTTTGTGCTGTTTCTTCTGGGTGTTGTTGTTGAATTCTTGATCGATCGGTTTGTTTGGACGGCTGGGTTGGGTTTGATGATCTGGTTGGTCATGGATTCTTTGATCGTCTTTCTTTCACTGGCTTCGGTTCCATGCGCTCCTGGGTTCTGAGCTTGCTTTCTTCTCTTTCCTTCTGCTTTCTGCTTCGCAAATCCACTAGCAGCAGCCTCTATCTAGATAGGAAGGTAGGGTGCCGACCTGACGATATGGCACCGAATTTTGCATGCTGATGATTTTGCCTATATATATGCAATCTGATGGAAAATTGATTTATTGCGCCTTTCCTCTTTCCAGTTGCACTGAATTTTTCATTTACTTGTTGCCTTTGCACTGATCCTGTTTGGTTGTCCCCTTTTTTTCTTTTTATGAAAATTTTTGTCTGGTTCTTGATTCTGCAACAAAACCATATATCTGCTGACTTGCTATACCTTAAAAATACGTTTGAGTGTGATTGTTAGACTATTTCTGACTTTGATATGACATGCCTGATTTGATTCTTCGATGTCTTGTTCTTCCTTCCTACTTCCAAGAGGACAAAAGTGTGTTAGATGGTTACCAAACCAACTATCGATTTGAAAAATCTGGTGGTGCTTTCATTTAATTTGTTATTGGAGCCAGATAGTTCAGTTGCAGTGAATTGATTAACAAATCACTTACTATAGCTAGTCTTTCTTTTAGATCTCGCATCCAAGCTGGGCAGTAATTGTTTTGAGGACAAGGACAAAAACAATATTAATTTATATTAATTAGTACATGCAGCTGATATATTGTTACCTCTATCTTTTGCATTTCTTTCAATGAGGCATTGAGGCTATAGGTTGCTTGCACACATGAAATTTCGAGACTACATGTGTGTAGGTAGCCATATTTTTCTGGGCTGCCAGATAAATGCTACAGGCTAGAGAAGATTCCATATTATTCTCCTGTTCCCATCCTGCATGCAGAGGGTTGGACCGTACCAGAGATAAATAGCCATCATATACACAGTCACACATACATAGGCTAAGCTTAGAGCAGCATGATTTCATGATGATGTATGTTAGCGCCGGCCGGCCTTTTAGAGTTTCAGTCCTCAAATCCCGTGCAAAAGCGTCTATATCAGTGTCACATCAGTGTCGTTACATATACATGTATTTCTGTTTCATCACAAGCAGGAGCGGCAAGGAAGCGTCAGGGGCGTATGACCATCTGGGGGAGCTGGACCAGGCGTTGTTCATGTACCTGGATCACGGCAGCAGCCATGGCCATGGCGGCACGCAGCTGCAAGAGCAAAGGCGTAGTAAGTGTGTACGCATGCATGCACTTCATTCGTCGTTCTCTGACGACCGACCGACCGAAATTCAACTGCAGTTGCCGTGTTTTTGCATGCCTAGCTGTTTTTGTTTTTGCAGCAAGTCAAATGCAACTGACCAGCAGTAGTAACGTACTCGTAGACTAGTGCAGTAGCAGTTAATTAGTACAACTAGCATTTTTTGGCTGCATTTACATTTAATTTAGTAGTGGTAATACTAATGGCATACTAGCTAGGCCCTGAAACATATGTGTTTCGTAGTGGATGGGAATGGGATAGCAATAGCTGCAGGGATTCCTCCGATCCGATATCGATCGTCCTCTCGATCGATGCAGTCAGATAGACGCAGTAGAGTGCAGAAACGCGCATCCTTTCCCGGGGCTAGGCATGTGAGATCAAGAACGGCGATACGGCCGGACGGCCGGCCGGACGGCTGGCCTGCTGCCTGCAACAGATTCTCAGGTACTCCATTTGACCAGGATGCTGTAGTAGTGCTTCAAATCTGCAGCTAGCTAGCGCGGTTTGGAGAGGACCGGACCAGGGCACCAGGGAATCGGCAGGAACATGCATGCTGCAAGCTCAAAGTCCATGCACGAAGACAACACAAGCCTCTCTCTAGCTTTTTGGCCTTTTGTTTCTCTTGTTGCTTGTTCTCCGTTCTCTCTCTTCCCATGCATCTCTTCTCTTCTCCATCTCTCTCTCTCTTTCCCCCCTACCTCCGGCCGGTCGGACTGTGACATGTAACGGACTGCTCAATGATTTCCCCGCGATCGAGCTGCATGTGCCCGCGGCAGAGCAGTACACGCAGACGGGATGATCCCCGTCGGCCAGTACGCCAGTGGCTGGCTGGCTACAGGCTACTCGTCTCCTCTCTTTCTCTCTCATGCCTGCATGCCCTTCTCTCTCCTGCAGCAGTGCAAGTGCAAGCAGCCAAGCACAGCATTTGTACATGCATACATGTTTGAATCGATCCTATCCACCTATCTTTCGGTTTCAGTACAGGCACGCCTTAGCTGTGGGCTGTGGCTGCCTGTGCGAATCCCTGCTGTCCCGTATCACCAGCTTTCTCGTGCTACTGCCCGTTGTGCGAATCTGGATTGCTGGTACTACCCTGCCCAGCCGGCCAGCCCAGCTTAGTAGTAGTACCGCCATGATTGAAGACTGCAACTCCTGCTGCGTGCTGCATGCGACACCAGAGAGCGTTTCAGCCTCTTCCTCAGAGTTCAGTAGGCATATATATGTGTGTGATGACTGATGAGTACATGGCCCTCTCCTCTCCTCTCCTCCCACTCTCTAGCTAGCTAGCAAGTAGAGCCACAGACAGACTCATCTCACCAGGCCTTCGCCTTGTTCCTTGTCTTGTTCATGGATGCAGAGACACTCAACATCTTCCCTTCCCAGCCCATGCATGTGGAGCCGTCGCCGAAGGTACAGCAAACATGTATCTCAGATTTGTTCAAGCACTCAATGTCTTCTTTTCAGATGCGCAGCACAACTGCGTTCTGCCATGGATGATTGATTGCAACTTATTTGGTTGTTTAACCTGACCGATTTTAATTTCTGATGCGATTGGTGTGGTAGGGGGAGATTAGTTTAGTCCTGTCCCCGGCGCCGGTGGGATCCAAGGAGCCTGCTAGGTCACCGGACTATCACCATCACCATCACCAGCACCAGCAGGTGGCCATGGAGGAGTTGGCGGGGAGCAGGAGGCAGCAGCAGGAGCATCACCACCTGCAGCACCAACCCTTCGCTGCCGCTGCTGAGCCGGCAGCACCCGGCGGGATGATCAAAGATGTCAAGCCACTGGCCAAGGTGAGTGGTTAACTACTACTAGTGCAGTGCTCCATTTGAATACCAGTTTGATAGTACACAAGGCTACTAAATCGATTGATTGCTGCCTTTTCTTTTTGTAGCTGTTTTAGTTCCCATGGATTTATTATTTTTTTCTCTTTTTTTTCTTGTTGATGTATAGAAGGATCACAGGAGAGGCACATCGACCAGTGAACGCGACCCAAAAGTAATGGATTGTGATACTCTCAAGTGCCAATTATTGATGAATTATTTAATTATTTAATTGCTGATTCTACGTACTACACTCGGAAAGAACACACTACTAGCCATCAATGTTTGTTGTACTAACTTGGATTGGTGTTTATGCATCACGCTGTAATGAACACGTGCAGACACTGAGAAGGCTGGCCCAGAACAGGGAGGCTGCAAGGAAAAGCAGGCTAAGGAAGAAGGTGAGCGAGTCGACATCTGATGACCTACACCAAGATTGGAACAAAAAGGATGAGAAAAAAAATTAAAATGTCAAAGGATTAACAATGTTTTCTTTTCTTCAAAAAAAGTTGACATTGTTCAAATTCTTGTCCCCATAATCCAATGTCAGCGTAGATTTATATTATTTTACTTCTCTTTGTTGCAATGCAACAGGCTTACATCCAGCAACTGGAGTCCAGCAGGATCAGGCTAGCTCAGCTCCAACAAGAACTGCACACTGCAAGAGCTCAGGTACATGATTAGTATGCAACCGATTTAATAATGACCCCAAAGGAAAAAAAGGAAAGTTGAAACATAGTGCTTGTATCTTGTCTTGGCCCTTGGCTTCCTGAAGGCTGAATTTTAACTGATCTCTGCATAAATATGTATTTTTCTGCAGGGAGTTTTCTTCCCCAACAGCGGCATCCTCGCTGACCAAGGTGTCGCCGGCAAAGGCGTCTCCATCGGCGGCATCGACGGCCTCAGCTCAGGCACCTAATCAAACCACCTCTCCTCGAATCCATTCGATTGATTGATAAGTTCCCAAATATTTCTTTTTCTGATTAACATCGGCCACATATATATTTATGGATTCCAGAGGCGGCGATGTTCGACGTGGAGTACGGGCGGTGGCAGGAGGAGCACTACCGGCTGATGTACGAGCTGCGGGCGGCGCTGCAGCAGCACCTGCCGGAGGGGGAGCTGCAGATGTACGTGGAGAGCTGCCTGGCGCACCACGACGAGATGGTGGGCATCAAGGAGGGCGCCATCAAGGGCGACGTCTTCCACCTCATCTCCGGCGTCTGGAGGAGCCCCGCCGAGCGCTGCTTCCTGTGGCTCGGCGGATTCCGCCCCTCCGAGGTCATCAAGGTGCGTGCGTGCACACGTGTCTCTCCCTCCCTTACTAGCGTTGCATATATTCCTCATCTGGGAGGAACGAACCCGCGACTAGCTTAACCCTAACCCTAGACAGTCAATGGTTGCCGTCGTGATTGGTTTGTGTTTGAACCTCGGTGGCAATAATTGACAGCGACATCGCTAGACATGTGTGACAGTGTGAGGAAAAAAAGGTTGTTTCTCTAGAAACTGGTGGGTGGAAATATGCATGTAAAACCCTGAATTTTTTGCTACAGCAATTTCAGGCAATACATGACTAGCTACAGGCAAGGTTTAATTTTCAATTTCGAATATAGAATTTTTTCAGCCACCCTTGAATTCACGAAATTTTGACGATTTTTTTGGAGACTTAACAGAAGATATGACATGAGACCTAACCAAAATGTAATCACTACACATCTGAGTAGAAAAATATGTAACATAAACAACAAAAATATATGAGTCTAGAGTTATGTATTCACAACAAAGCACATGCATTAGTGTAATACAAAAGGTTGGATTTTTATTTCGGTCTCCTTTGAAATTACCGAAATTCGCGAGAAATTTCACCAAAATTTTCCTGTACATAGTCTAATAACCCACCTTGCTAGGTCATAACTGGGGATTGACCAAGTCATGTACTTTAGACTAACTAGGAGGATGGACATTCCAGATGGACGGCGTTTATGATCCCTATAGTAACTCAAACGAGCCCGAAATTAACTAAAATACCTAAAGTTTGTCAAACGCTTGCATTGGACCCGGCCTGAAATGTGTAACGTGCGCTGTGTGCAGTAGTGGTAGAGCAGGAGAGGTAGCTATGTTAACCATAGCGAAAAAAGTTATAAAAAATGCAGTCCTATAAACGTTAGAATATTATTGTGTAGAATATTAAATTTTAGATTTAAAATTAAAAAAAAACTTAATTTTCTTATAAGAAGTACAGCCTTAGCTCTGCAACATCGATCACATTAGATCAGATCACTGGTCGTTCACAAGATTGTGAATCTGTTTAACTGTTATACACACATAAACATGCACGAAAATAAGAAAATGCCCCAGACATCTAGAACCTGATCCCGCGGTAGCATTGAAGCCGTGTGAGAGGAGTTGGTATATATGCCTCAGCTCCGATGTAGCAACCTGTGCAGCGGTTGAAAGTGGCAGCAAATCATGGGCGTTCCGCGTTCGTTCCCGCAGCGGCGTGGGTGACGGCAGCCGAAATCCTCCTCGGGTACGCATGGCTGCAGATAATGGCAGTGGCAGCCTTGCCTTCTCGCCGGCGGCGCTCTTGAAAGCTTCCCCAGCGAACCGGGGCGCCCGGGCGATCTCCGCGCGCGGCATTGAAGCCCCCGGGGCCCTCGTCAATCTCTGTCGATCGAGCGCCGTGCAGGCATGCTGCCCCGACATATACGCGGCGCATGCAATGCACACATGCTGTTGTGCAACTCAGAGATGGACGATCTAGTATAGTAGTAGTAGTAGTAGTAGATGTGAAATCCACGGTCATATTGAAGGCGGAGAGGAGAAACCGCCGTTCTGTCTTTCTCCTATTTGTGGAAATGGGGTTGATTTTAGGCCATGGTTGCTGAGAGTAGAACTGCACTCCTATACAAGGCAGCTTATGGGTCTGATTGGCTTTAATTTCAGAGAAAGCCAGAAAGGGCAGAGCTGATTTCAATTTTCGTTATTGATGACTGTTTTGAGTGATCTTTTTAATGTTGATATTTGCTTATGGACACTACTTTCTTTGCTAGAAAAAAACTCTTTAATTGTGACAATTGACACCTAGACACTATATCTATTAAAATAATATCTAGGAGTCAATGCGAGAGAAGTTAAAAGTGACCCTATGCACCTGACTATTAGACCATAACCCTTAATAGTTATCTAAAAAATCATAACTTTATATTAAACTTGTAGAGCTCAATAAATTCTATAACTTTATAACTGACAAGTTTGTTATTTGAAATTGTTAAATTCTCCCAATTTTTTTTAAATCCTCAGATTTTGAAATTTAAAATTCAAAATTTTTGAACAACCTCGGATGTTGACAAGGTCTATACAAAAGCTGCATTTACCATTACGATCTATAATTTTGTAGTTGATAAATTCATTTTTTTTGCCCTCTAAATAATTTTGTATAGACCACATCAACATCTGACGTCGTTCAAAAAATTAAAATTTTAAATTGAAAAATATGAGAATTTAAAACAAGTTTTTGATGTAATAAATAATTTCAAATAAAAAACTTGTTAACTACAAAGTTCTACTCTATTTCAAATTATAAGATGTTTTGACTTTTCTCTTGATGCATAACTTTTGCTATGTACGTACGTAGATATACATTTTGTTTTGATACATAATAAAAACAAAGTATCTAAAAAAAGATAAAACGTCTTATAGTTTAGAGTGAAGGGTGTACATCTCATTGGGCTCTGTAATTTTGATATAAAGTATATCTTCATTTAACTCCATGTGCAAAACTTATAAAGTTTTCTGATAGATATTAAGGGTTGTGGTATAATAGTCAAGGGCATAATGGTCACTTTTAACTTCTCTCCTATTTTTTTGAAACCTCTCATCTGAGTACAACTGTAGAATCTGTTCATGCACAGATACACACACCCACGCTACGCATGCACACCACCACACACACCACTTGTGCACTACTAGACCTACAACTACATACAGATAGCAATTGTGTCCTTCTTGAGATCACCGAGACCATCCATGGCTTCGTAGACGACGGGCACGTCGCAATCCCATTGTGGCATACAATCGAGGAGTGTTTTCTAAGCAAAAACAATATTCAGTACTGTTCAATAGCAAATACCAACATTGAAAGATGTTCTAAAATAAATTTACCCATATTAATTTGCCGTGTCATTGCATCCAACCTCCACCTCCTAATAAACTGAACACTTTCTAGACTCTATATTATTTCTCATTAATGTTGAGTTGAACAAATTTTAAAATTTCTTTCTTCCTTCCTTTATGTTGTTTTCCCCCACTGTAACATATTATTATATACTCTATACATTTGTCTAAAAGAACTTAATGTTCTAACTGTGATATACTCTGATCCCTCTATCCTAAAATAATGGCACTTATCGCTTTTCAAGTCAGTTTTTTCTAATTTAACTCGGATTTATAAAAAACATAATCAATTAACATTTATATCTCCCGATTTGTTTAATTATGACAAATATATTCAACTATTATTCTAATGATATTTATCATATCATAAATATTCATATTTTTAATACATATTTGGTCAAACTTTAAAATTTTTGTCTCTTTGAAAAACGAGATGTTAGCTATGCCTATGCAGTTATTTTGGGTAGGAGGGAGTAAGTCAAACTATTGTAAAACTTTGATCAGGTAATTGAGAAGATTGTCAACATTTATGACTAATGAGCTAAACATAAGATGGATTTAACTATACTTATTTGGTATCATAAATAAGTGCTTGTGAGCTAACATATATAATACTCTTTTGTCTTATATATTATGTTATTGACCTGAGCATAAATTGGAGTGACTGTGCTCCATGCAGTATACTCCCACCTCACCCACCAGTCCACCACCCCATTGAAAAGAATTGTACTAAGTCAAACTATTATAAATTTGACTAAGTTTATAAAAAAATAAGTATTGATGTTTTTTTTATAAAATTGATCGAACTTTAGATGACTAAAGTTATAGAACTAGAATTGCATTTTTCTGGATGGAGGTAGTACATTTGATCGTCTCGTTATCGTTCCATCACATCTGCATAATGATGAGTGCGTACGTATACATGGCCCAGGTCACGTATGAATTGCTGCATATATCATGCATGTCGTTTATTAGATGCTTATAATTTATATTTATAATTATAATTGAAGTAATTGCACGTATATATGATTACAGATGATGCTGAGCCACGTGGAGCCCCTGACGGAGCAGCAGATCGTGGGCGTGTACGGGCTGCAGCAGTCGGCGCTGGAGACGGAGGAGGCGCTGAGCCAGGGCCTGGAGGCGCTCTACCAGTCGCTGTCCGACACCGTCGTCTCCGACGCGCTCAGCTGCCCCTCCAACGTCGCCAACTACATGGGCCAGATGGCCGCCGCCATGAACAAGCTCTCCACGCTCGAGGGCTTCGTCAGACAAGTAAGTACAAAGTACCGATCGATTCAGTTGTTGCTCATATAACTTGCATTGCTGGCTTCAGCATCACTACTCTTCCTAATTCGTTGTCGCTGTAATGGGTTAGTTATAGCTGCAACTAAAACAAAGATTGATCAAACATTTATATAGTAGTACGCCATAATCTATCGTTAGTTGAAGCAAGGTACATTAGATAGCTTGGATGGTTTACCTAATTATTTGAGATCGACAGTGCAGTTCTTTAGTCAGACTAAACCAGTGGTTTAGATATATTGAGCATGCACGCCAGGTGCAGGCCGGCAGAGCAGACGCATGGATTAGGTTGTGAATATAACATTACTACTAAAAAGCACCGAACTGTCGCCATCCCAAAATTGGAGAGCCAGTATTGTACAATTTCCAGGGCTAACGGATCGAACACATCGTTGTGTCCATATAGGGAGGATACATATAAGACAGTGCCAGCAACCCTTTGCTTGCCCATTCAGCTTTCCATGTTGGGTAGGTAACCTTGATGCCGACATTGTTTAGGCCGGCTTCACCTGCCCATGTCTGCCAGAAACAGAGTTGATCAATGGATATACATATATATATGTCCATGGGCCGGCCCTCATATATACTAGTTACGTGCGTGGACTGTGTTAGTTAATTAGGTCACTGCAAATAGTGCTGGGCTGCTGGCTGATTCGTGTGTGACGATGGCAAAACGTCAGACAGTACTGACAATAATGATATAGGAGTATATGATCTGTCCCTAATCATTTAATTTGTTCTATTTAAGTTAATTAACTATCGATCAGCTTCACTGATGAACATCATGGATGCATAACGCAGGCTGAGAACCTTCGGCAGCAGACGCTGCACCGGCTGCACCAAATCCTGACGACGCGGCAGATGGCGCGGTCGCTACTGGCCGTGTCGGACTACTTCCACCGCCTCCGCACGCTGAGCTCGCTCTGGGTCACACGCCCCAGGGCGCCGCAGGAGCAGCAGCAGGGCCACAGCTAGTGGCGGCGTCGTCGTCGATCATCTGCGGCGGCGGCGCTGTTGACCGCGCGCCGCATGTCCATCCATATGCATATATGAGTCATGCATGGACGCATGCATGCATGGTGTGTTCGTCGTCGTTCGTCATCAGTTCACAAGGAACAGACCAGACAAGAATAGAACTTGCAGGTAGTAGCCAGCTAGGGCAGTGGGAGAGCTAGTGAGACCGAGGAATCAACCAGAGGATAATGTTAATCTTAGCGACGACTGTCGTTGGTTGCTTGTAGCTATAGCTTAGGTGTACTTGATGTTCGATCCCGATCTATGGGTCGGCTGCTTCACACAGTCGACGACGTGGCTGATTGAGATGATGTTCTAAATTAGCTATCTCATGATCACCGGATGCGTATATGCTTCATCGTCGTCTTCATCATTGGCGTTAGGCAACCATTTTATGCAACCGTCGTAGCTAATATAGTTTCACCGTGGGTTAGGAATCGCTATTTATCTGACAACAGTTTTTTTTTCTTGGAAAATCTGTTAGATTTTAACCGTCAGATGCAAGATCTGCCTAGATCATCTTCTTCTCCTAACCCTTAATTTCCTCCCATTTAGGTGAAGGAGAATAAATTTATAGCGTGAATCTATATATCGAATCGTGTGATAAGAAATTTGACATATTTCTTGGAAAAAAATTGGTGACACACATGAATAGCAATTCACTTATCAATCGTGCCGGTACATTTTTCATGCATATCTCCTATTGTTATGAAATATCTCTAGAGATTTTAGGAATGGAAGAACACTGGAGTGAGTTGATATGATGGTATCACTAGTAGAGAAACAACATTTCATCGATGGCAAAAAAGTATTTAGTCCCGGTTTCAAAATTGGAACCGTGACTAAAGGGAGGACTGGACCTTTAGTCTCGGTTGTAACGGTTACCGAGGCGTGTCAGTGCGAGAAGCTTTAGTCTCGATTTGAGACATGAACCCGGACTAAAAGTGTGACTTTTAATCCCGGTTTGGGACACGAACCCAGACTAAAGGTACCTTTAGTCCCAGTTTGTGTCTCAAACCTGGACTAAAGGTGCCTCCAGAGTGAATTTAAAAAGAAAGTGTATCTTATCTAAGTCAAATGTGTGGTGGGACATGAGATGGTAACGTGCGCAAGAACTAAATTAGAAAGTCTTGGGTTCGAATCTCCACAACCACACCTCAACCGGGACTAAAGGGGGGTTGGGAACCGGGACTAGAACTAGTTTCTATACTAGTGTATCTACCATTGCATTTATGTTATTGCGTAGATATATACTTAAATTACCTCGTAACAAACGTGGGACCTTTTTTAATCCAATGTATGCACATAGTGTATGGACTAGCTATATGTGAATCTTAGAGACAAATTCTTAGGGCAATTGAAAATCTCGTCCAAAATATTTTTATTTGATTAAGAGTGTCATCTTGACAAATGACAATTTGGAAATAGAAAGTTAGTGATGCATTGTTTTTTAGCAGCAAAAAAACATCCAACATCGATTTAAAGACATATCCATGCAGCAAAAAAAAACATCCAACATCTTAGAGACAAATTCTTTCTTTTTATTGTCGTTATCCAAAATTCATCTAGGGGTCAGACACCAAATAAATACAATACCAAGACATATAATCCATGGTAGTTTTTACCACCGAATCTAACTTGATGTCATAGATCTTGGTATATTTTCTATAAATTCGGCTAAAGTTAGAGAAGTTTGACTTAGGACAACACTAAAATAACATGCATTTTCATGCAGAGGGAGTATTGTTCTTAGCAATCTTTTGCTTTAGTTCTACGAATATGCTGCTATGCCTTGCACTTTTTCAATAAAATACTTGTTAGTGTTCGACTTTACTTACATCTAACATGTGATATTGAATGACTGAGTGCATATGGCATATGTATGAGCGAGAATAGAAACTATTCTTTGTTTAGAGAAAAATCCTAGTACTTAGCGTGCCCATCAATTGTGCCTATGATTGCACACTCTGTTCACCTAAGGTCAGCCTCAATGGAGGTTTCATGTACCACTTTTCAAGATTTAAAGGCTCCAATTTGTTGGAATCACTGTAGACAAGTTTCATCTTCGTGAAATTCATTCGAGACTGTTATTATCTCTCTTCATTTATACTATGCTATCTTATTTAATGTCAATAAACTCTCATGAAACTCCCACTAACATGGGCCAACACAACTATTTTTTAATGCTACATTGATGGGTCATGTTCATTTAACTATTTATCTCATTTAAACAACCGTGTAGCTTGAATAATGGTCGTTTAGTCCGACTAAGGCTTATTGTTTAGCATTTAACGTCAAGGTGAATACTGATTGCATGTATGCTCAACCTACCTGTGACCTATACCAGTAGAAAAAGAGAGAGAGAGAGAAAGAAGCAAAGGTTCGGCTCTACATAAATAGGCCTTTCTGTGTGCGTACTCAAATGTGTCTTAAAATCTTTCAGTCCTCAAGGGCCTGATCCCAATTCCATCAGAATTGTTTGGCCCAAGCATCAAGCAAGCCCATCGTTGGCCATCAAGGCTGGATAATGGGCTTCAAATCAGCCCAACCATATCCCAACCCAAACCCTGAATCCCTGGCCCCATCATCGCGAAATAGCCGAAGGCGGTCTCCACTGGGGAAATGGAAATCACGGTTACGCCAAATGGGGAAGGTTTCGGCTGCATCATTTGCGGCCAAAAGAGGGAAACGCACACGCATCCGGAGCAGAGCAACGAGTAGAAAATGGGAATTCTACCATAATGGGAAGTGGGATTCGCTGACTTGCCATCCCGCAACAGTGATTCGCTGAATTGCCATTATGAAACACGTGCAACCCGTCGAATGTCATTTGGTGACTTTAGATCTAAAAAAATGAAAAACGAAGTTTTCTTCCATATTTATCCCTTGCCCTTTCCTTCTTCTTTCATGTGAGAGCACACGGATGGACGGAACCGAGGGAGGAGAAACGGATCGAGCGAGCGCTTCTTCTCCGAGCGGGCGCACCCCCACGGCAGCGCCGCGAGCCTCCAGCGTGGCTAGCGAAGTTGGGAGCAGAGCTGCAAAAGTTGGAGCAGAGCATTCTCAAACATGCCCTTAATAACTCCTTTTTGGAATCCTGCATGGGTAGGGAAGGAAGTTAGAAAAAAAACTCATCAAGTCTGTTTATATGATGGAATTGCAATGTGTAAAATTCCTACTCCATTCCAAATTGTAAGTGGTTCTGACTTTTCTAGATACATTGTTTTTAATACGTGCGTAGCAAAAGCAATCGACCTAGCTAGAACGACTTAGGGAGTACTATTTTATCCTGATTTCTGATTGTCTTGTCTCTCAGGCTGCTTCATCTGGAGAATCGCTGCACGTGCATGGTCTGCATTAGCCACCTACACAGTGATCTCTGCTTCTGACCTAACCATGCCATAGGCTCTATCTGCATTGGAGAGAAGTAAACCTATTCAAGGTGTTCATATGGCTGCACCAGGGACCTCAGGGCCGCCGGGCTCGTAGGCCGCTTCTTCAGCGTCGGCGAGCACAACAACAAGAGTCTCGAGGTGGACGACCTAGCCCCAGCGAGGCTATTCGTGGGCCTCCCCATCGACTCGGTCACGAACGGGCACGGTGAGACCGAGGGCCATCAGCGAGGGGCGGCCTCGACGAGTCATGTGCCGACGACGCCACGGCACATCGGGCACGCGATGGCCACACCGTCGCGACTGGAGTTGGAGCAAGGTGCAGTGAGGCGGATGTGCTCCCACAAAGACGAGTAGCACCATCGCCGGCTGACCAAGCAAGCCCCGCCCGAGGTTCAGGTGTGCCGACCCGCACGGTGGGCACTCAGCCATGCCGCCGCCGCCGATGCGCACGCCTCAACCAAAGAACGCGGCGAGCTCCAGGGTACGGACCGGGGGCATCGGAGGCCACGCCACACGGGCATCTGGGCAACCTGTGGAATGGAGGACGCGGTGGACATCGGCGACGAGGAGCAGGCGGTGTTCTGTCCATCCCTCTGCTCACAGGAAAGAAAGAAAGAAAGGACAGGAGCAAATGTAGATGATAAATTTAGGGAATTGCTAAAGGACACTCGCATGTTTCTGTTGGAGAGAACACGCGATTTGTCCTCCGTCGGATGGGGCATCGACGGCGCGCGCTTGGCCAGCGGTCTCTGCTTTCCACCCGCTCCGTCGTCGACATGTGGGACCCACTTTATCGTTCAATTTTAGATCGTCGCGCTTTGCCGAAAGTCTTCGCCCACCACTCGGTCCACTCCTGTCCATTTCGCTTCCTCTCCTTTCTCTCCCTCCTTGGCGGCCAGCCAAAAGGCGACGGCGGCGACGACGACGCGTGGGTCTGCTTTCGGTCTTCTTCCTCTCTTTTTTGATTCGGAGGGTGCGTCGTGCGCGGAGGTCGATGAGGTAGTACGGCTCCCTCTTCCTTTATTTTGACCCATTTTGGTTGCGATTTGGTGGTGTGGATCTGGTGATTTTGATTTGATGGGCTCATGTTAGGGTTTGGTGGTGTGTGGATTCAGAGGGTTCATCGCACCGTTGGTGTGGATTAGGGTTTGTTGGATTAGCTGTCATTGTGCCTCTCTCTCATGGTAGCTCATTTGGCGTTTGTGGTGAGTGTTGCGGTGGTTGGTGCGCATCCCCTTTGATTTTGCAGCGTAGATTTGGAGTTGGATGGGTTTTTGTTTGGATTGTTAGCAGGTGGCGTGGATTTGTTTTCTGTGTTTCTCGGTTAGATTCTGTGTACCATGTATCCAATTGAACAATGGATGGCCATTGCCTTATGTCAGTTTTTTGAAAATTTAGGGCTTCTATTGTTCTCTTGAGATGACTGTCTGTTCTTTTGAGCAATTGTAGGTTCTGGTAGGTTATCATTTCAGCCTATGTTAGGGTTTTAAAATTTGTGTTGATTCTGAGGCGGTGAGCTATTGACATGCGTTTGGGCAGTCTAGATTTCATGATGATTGATTGATT